GTATAGAATCAGAGACTATATTAATGGGGTAAGGATGTAGGCAAATAACTTGAATAAGAGCATATAATTCATTTTGTTGAGCAGAATGGAATTTAGTGTAAAAGACTTTATTTGTAATAAAGTTTTATTGAAGTATAAAGGAGATAGAGAAAGCCTCTGACACAGGCATCAGAAGGGGGCAGAAAGAGTGCCCCCTGCTGGTCTTTAGCCAGGTGTCATATAACTACTAGCAGTCTGCTAATTAGAGAAAGGAAATGTCTCAAAACTCAGAGAATAACACCAGGCCCCTCACCCACAACATGCATTTTGAGATAACCGTGGCACCAGGTGAGTTGGCCACAAAATGATTGATATGAATCTTGAAGAAAGGCAGGTGTCCAAGCAAATACAGTTTCATTAACATAGCTTAAGAGAACATTTGCATGAGTAAAACACACTGCTTGGTCAAGTCAGAACCGACTTGAAGAGAGTCTGGGGTAAATGTATAGCACATTAACATAGCTTAAGACAAACATTTCCATAAGAAAAATGCATTGGTTAACTCAGGGTTTGAGAATGGTTAACCTCAAGTGAAACCAGGTGTCATTATGGCAACACAGTATTTTAAGAGAAACCTCCTTTTAAATCTGTATAGAGAAGGGGAAAAAAAGAAGAAGAAATATCGCAAGTTTGTTTCCTCCTGCCTTTTAAGAGAGATAAAAATGTCTGACACTTGCAGCCTATTTTCTCCATTTGGAGACCCCTGGCCTTCCTGCCTGTTAAGTCAAACTAGAGCGGCCAAGTAAAAGACCGAAGGTCTGTGGGGGCAGGGGCCCAAAAAGTCCAGTAGGTATTCTAGAGGGGACTGCTTGAGGGTAAAGGGGTTTAGGGCTGGTATATGGACGGCAGCACTGACGATGTTGAGGGTTTGAGGGGAAAGACGGAATTTGCCCCTGGTTTTTGTTGAAAGGGACCTGGTGGGGTGGGGGGGTCTCCTGGTTGGAGTTTCCCGGAATAGGTTTCCCTTCAATATCAAATTTAGATTTACACTCTTTGGCCCAATGCGTTTTTCTACAGCAGTGAGGGCAGATTTTTGGAGGTTTTTATTAACTTTCTTAGGGCAGTCCCTTTTTAAAAGGTTTTTATCTCCACATGTAAAGCATCCTTCATTTCCCTTTTTAAAGCAAGCAGCCGTTGTCTCAGCTAGCATTTGCATTTTTTTGAGTTTCTGATCTTATATAGAGACATGTCTTCAAATAATCAAAAATAGTCCCTGTCTCACGAATTGGAGCTACAGCCTTTTGACATTCCTGATTTGAATTATCATAAACAAGTAATTTTTTTTTTTAGTTGTCTTATAGCTGTTACGTAGTTAGAATAGAGAAAAGGAGTCCAAAATGGTGGTGGCTGAAAGACAAGGAAGGGAAAAGCCCGCGAAAATAGAACAGAGGAAGGTCCGAAGACCGGAGTGAGGACTTCAGGTAGAACAGCACTCCTGCCTAAGCCCAATTTGCATGGGGCAGGCCCAGGGGGAAGAAAAAACATATAAAAAGAGGAGCCAAAGGGCTCTCCCCCCACCCACCCCCCACGCGATGGGATGCTCTTCTCTTCGCATCTTTGGATCCACGTGCCCTCACGCCTCGAAGATGGATTTTCCTGTTATCTTCTAAATAAAATAGAGCTGTAACACTGATTCCTCTAAGAGCTATAACACTGTCTGTCCAAGACCCGAGAGCTATGACCCGCCGAGGGGACTTTAATGTGCGTCACTCCAAATCTTTGTTGTGATGAGACAAAGATCCGAGGAGCATACACTCGCCTGACATAGCTTTTTTCTTTTTTTTCTTTTTNTGTTGGTCCTTTATTGGACCGGAACCTGGTGGTCCGGAGTCGACGATGAGAAAGCAAAAGAAAGAAAGAGGCTAATATTCCCTGGGTTACGCAGCCGGCTTTCACACTCCAGGGAATCAGCCAGAAATATATATATATAGAGAGAGAGAGAAAGACACGGGAACCAAAGGTCTGATGGAGCAAAGGTGTTTTAATCTACGTGGCATGGGCATATATACTGTCTTACAAGGTAGTTATCCTCAGCAAAGGTAAAGATTAAAATTCCAGACTTACAAAACATAAGGCAATCCCTATTAAAGAGAGAAAGTTGTGAATAATCCCTTTTTACCGTAAGGTTCATAAGAAGAAAGAGGGTACTCACCACCGTATTAAAAAACTAATGAAGGAAATGCCTGGATTCCTCAGCCCAGGGAAAGGTGTGTCTCTCCTCTTAATTCCTGAATATTCAGGAATTAATAAGGAACAGAAGATTCCTGACAGATCCAAAACAGCACAGAGGAAGCCTCCTGTTAAATGCTTCCTGACACCATGCGAGCCAGCAACTTCTAGGAACACATAAAGTATGATAGAAGACTTGCTGGATACACAGTACAGATTAACTTGACATTTAAAAGCTCTACAAGGAGCCAATCTTCTGGAGCCCCCCACCCCCCAGATTCATTAACTTTTCCTACAGGAGCCCAAGCAGGTTCTCACTGTGAAGACTGGGAACAATGGCCTCCCGCTCCATGCCGGAAATGGTGTTGGGGGTACATTCTGATATACACACAAAGCATTCCCTTCCCCGCAATTTAGGCCATTCCTCAAGGAAAACTAATTTGCCTGAACCTTATCTAATTGGGGAAAAAGCGGTGAGACACTGACCCTTCAGGTTTTTGATTAGACCAAAGGTGAGGAATAAAAGCCAAGAACCTCATCTGACTTACATAGTCCAGTGAGTCTGTCCCCGCCCCCCAAATAAAACAGGTTTTTTAAAAAGATTTACTTATTTTTTGCTACTCTGGGTCTTCATTGCTGTGCATATGCTTGCGCTTTCTCTTGCTGCAGCGAGCAGGGGCCACTCTCTAGGGTTGCAGTGTGTGGGTTTCTCACTGCAGTAGTTTCTCTTAGGCTTAGTTGCCCATAGCATGTGGGTCTTCCCAGACTTTTAGGGAAAGCACACTGACTGAAACCACCCAATCTGGCCAGGTACTATAGTAACCATTTACTTGAATTATGTTATGACAGAAGGTCATGGGAAAGAATATGGAACTAGTAAGCCACCACCAATCAGAAGAGTTCGGGAAAGGTCAAAAGGAGACACCACATGTCCTTCCAGCTCCCAGAATTATTCTTGCTGGCAACTATCCTGGCTAAGCAAAGGCAGGACCCTGAGTCAGAGTGATTGGCCAAAGACAACCTGGAAACTAATTCCATCACCATAAAACCTGAGACTGTGAGCCAGTGGCAGAGCAGTCCTCCTGGGTTCCCTTATCCTGCTGCTTTCCACCCGGGTGCCCCTCCTAATAAAGTCTCTTGCTTTGTCAGCATGAATGTCTCCATGGACAATTCATTTTCAAGTGTTAGACAAGAGCCCACTCTCGGGCCCTGGAAGGGGTTCCCCTTCCTGCAATAGGACCACAAATTAAACCCGTGTCCCCTACATTGGCAGGTGGATTTTTTACCACTGAGCCACCAGGGAAGCCCCCATGAAGAGGAAAAGTTAAAATTTTACATAACCTCCTGCTTGTTCTGCCTCTGTAACTCAGCTTGCTCCTTGCAAAGTCTGGATCGCATAGGTCACGTAGTCTCAGAAAGTGGGGACTTAGAATACTAGGAACTGGAGCTCATCTCACCCTTGTCCTACTCTTTGCAATTGCCCAGCCCCAGCAAACCTGCTTAATTATGCATCCCCCTCCCCATCTTGACTGCTGTTCCCACTCGCAGGAAACTTCTTAGTTTAAACCAGCCTATTAGCAGCTAGTGTTGCCCTCTATAGTCTGTCTATAAGCACTCTGTAACCCCTTTGTTCAGGGCTCAGAGCTTACAGTGTTAACTCTGCTGGGCCCATTGGCGTAATAAACCTGAGTTCTCCAACTCTCCAAGTGTGGTGCTTGGTTTCTCGGGTACTGGTTTCTGCAACACCCAGACATTTCTGATCTAAGCTAAATGAGGATGAAAATCCCTCTTCCCCTCGAGAAAGTGGAGCTGGGATGAAAATCAGGGAAGATGACCCCCAAACTCCTCCTTCCCCAGTAAATAGTCCATCCCTTCATTTATATGCTTCTAATAACAAGCTTCAAAAGAAACCCAGAACAGCAGCTCCTCACATGCCTACCTGCTCTCCCTCTTGCTTAAATAAAATTTCACTTTACTTAAAGCTCTCTGCTTTGGTGATCAAGAAAATACCTTAAATTCACCCTTAAGTCCTTGACCCCTAGAGGATATAATGTTACAGAGCCCAAGCTCACTCTGCTTGCGACATGACAGGCCAATGAATCTGAGAGACAAGGTGTTCAGGCAAGGAATATGACTTAATTGGGAAAGCTGGCTGACCAAGAAGATGGCAGACTAATGTCTGAAAGTATCTTGTCCGGGGTCTGGATGCCAGGTTCTTTTTATAGAGTCAGAGAGAAGCAATGAGGAATTAAAGTCAAAAGGCAGAACAGGAGGGAGATGTAATGAGGAAGTAAAGTAAAAAGGGTCTTCAGTCTTCAGTAAAACATCTCCAGGAAGGGCCAGCCTTTGGAAGGGATGTGTTAAACTCTTCTTTTTGTTGTAATTATTCACAGATGGGGAGGGTCAGATTATGTCTCTAAGACATAAGAACTAAGACCCTTTTTTAACAGGTAGAGGTGCAGGGTCCTCTGAGGCAGACTATTCCGTATGGTTTTAATAATAAAAGCAACAAAAAACACGTCAAAGAAACAGTTCCAACACCGAGTCAGAACTGGCTTCTCCCTGCAACAGTAAGACCCTTTTGTTACAGTGTGGCCCTGTCTTGGGGTGTTGGACTGCACCCTGCAGGTTTGCAAGCTCAATAATTGCCAAGACCAAAGAAAGAGTCTGGATTCAGCGACAGAGGCATCAATGCTTTAATGGATAGGGAATCTTACACATCTGAAGCAAAAGGGTCAGATGTCAGGCAGGAAACGTTATTCGGTCCAGCTGTCACTCAAGTACTAGGAGGTGGGGCTTTGAGAGCTGTCCAATCAGGGGCGCCGCTTGGGCAGGTAGGTGGGGCGACGCACCGCTTTGGCTCCGTTTTCACTCCCGCAGACTCGGCTAGTGATCCGCTTTCCCACCTCTCAGAGACGCTGGCTGCACTGCCTCAGAGTCTGTCTTGTTGTGACCTGCTGTGAGAGTCGTAGGAAGGACTCAGGGAGACCCGGGAAACCTAGAAATGGTGAGTGTGCGTTACCCGGGTGCAGAGTTGGAGCGAGAGGGGAGGCGGCGTTGGTTGGAGTGAATCCGAACCAGCTGTGGTGGTGTCGGGCCTCCCCGCTGTCAACCCCGGAGCCTGCGGACCCGAGGGGCGTGGCTCGGACCTCAGTCTCCTCCGTCGGGTCGCGTGGCCGGCGGGGCCGGCAGCCAGGAACCCGGGAGTCCTGTCCAGTCACTGCGCGCCCCGACTTCGGCCCCGACCCTGCAGCCCCGCGTCCGCCTCAGAATGTGTTGTGACCCCCGGGGAGGATTGTCAGGGGACCCTCGTGACTCGGTCTCCGTGGTTCGTGCGTGGGAGGAGCTCTGGTGTGTGGAGTCCCCATTCCCTGACTTTTTCCCAGGGGGCTCCCGTTTTCTCTTCAGTTTTCCAGTTATTTGAGTACCAAAAGTCTCAAGTCTACGCCCCTGTCCGCTCAAGCTTAGCTCTTCCTAGGGCTGGCAGTGAGTTCCCTAAATTTTCGGAGTTCACCCTACATCCCCAAGGCCAAATTCCCTCTCAGATTCACAGCATCATTATCAACGCTTTGTCCTCCGTGGTGCGTTTCAAACAGACGCAGTGTTTTAACTGTTTATCATTTTCCTCCCAGAGCCTTGGATGGGTCTTTTTTCCATTTTTTTTGTCTGTGGCTGTTTTCCACTAGAAGGAAGCAAAGAATAACCACTTGAAACTAAGTTGTTCAACAGCTTGGTGCCTCTCCTCCCAGACTCTTTTCTGGGCACAGACGTCTAATTCGTGGAGGTTCCTTTTAAAACTTTCCTGGGTCATGTGTCCTGTCAGGGTTGGCCCTACTTTAAAGATTTAAAGATTGTCACCTTTAAAAGATTTATTCACATATTTAAACGCTATTTTTCAATCAGAGTAAAATGCATTTAATCAATACAGCTTAAAAGATAGTATAAAACATTTCCCAAGAGGCAAAAGAGGTGAATTTTAGGGAAAAAAAAATTCCAGGATCACATTTCATTTTAAAAGTTTTGTTCTGCTGTTTTTTTCTCCCCCTGGAGCATGTGTTTCTCAGGACTATTCTTTACTTTTAGGTAATTTCAGATGAAATTCTCTGGTTGTGTGGTGTCTGCTTAGACGTCCAGACCGAGTGTTCAGGTGTGATTAATTATTTACAGACCGATTTCTCACTGTAGAAATAATCACTGACTGACATTTTTTTTTCTCCTGAAAGGAGTAAATATTTCAGGTTTTCTGGTTGAACTAGTGAAAATGCTCTACAGTTTTCTTTCCTCCTTTCCACATAAATGATAGGTTTAAGTTGTGTTGCTGGATTGTTCAAACACTAAGTTTGCGTCCATTAAAACATCAAGAGTGTTCTAAAGATACTCCAGTGCAGAGCAGAGGCCTATAGGGGTCAGTGATCCATGCCAAGGCTCCTGTAAAGAGAATGATCTGCAGACCCAGTTATTCTTGTTGGGGAGCAGCCCCCACCCTCTGCCCCGGCAGGTGTCTTACTTATTCGCACCCACAGTGGAAGGAGACTTTATACTGAGGGACGGTCCAGAGCCCTGGAAAGCTGAGGATGTACCTGCACACAGTGGTGGGGACTGATTTCATTTCTGAGGTTGGAGGCCTAAAACTTTCCTGTGCGAGTTCAATCCCTGAATTGAGAAGAGCCCCTGGAGAAGGAAATGGCAACCCACTCCAGTATTCTTGCCTGGAGAACCCCATAGACAGAGGAGCCTTTCTGTCTAAAGTCCATGGGGTCACAAAAGAGTTGGACACTGGACGCAAAACTTGGAACTTCAGTTTTGCGTTCACAGTGTAGGTACACTTAGTGTAATGTATGCACATTGAAAGAGGCTGTTATGATCTTGTCTTCTGTGTTGTGGACAAAGGGTTTATGAATTTAATTTAGGTCAGAATCTTAAACTNACTGAGGGACGGTCCAGAGCCCTGGAAAGCTGAGGATGTACCTGCACACACTGGTGGGGACTGATTTCATTTCTGAGGTTGGAGGCCTAAAACTTTCCTGTGCGAGTTCAATCCCTGAATTGAGAAGAGCCCCTGGAGAAGGAAATGGCAACCCACTCCAGTATTCTTGCCTGGAGAACCCCATAGACAGAGGAGCCTTTCTGTCTACAGTCCATGGGGTCACAAAAGAGTTGGACACTGGACGCAAAACTCGGAACTTCAGTTTTGCGTTCACAGTGTAGGTACACTTAGTGTAATGTATGCACATTGAAAGAGGCTGTTATGATCTTGTCTTCTGTGTTGTGGACAAAGGGTTTATGAATTTAATTTAGGTCAGAATCTTAAACTGAATCAGACATAGAGTTTCCTCACTTGTGAGACTAGAACCTAGTAGAGTCTGTGCTTCCGTGTTTTAGGAACACAGGAGAGCGTGTAGAGTGCAGAAGTCATTTTTGTGTCTGCTCAACTGTCCCTACCCTCCTTCTCCAGTGACTAATCTACTCTAGGAACTGTATTTTGGACCCCAAGTCTGGGAATTTGGTCATCTTTCTGAAAGTGGGTTTTTCTTCTGAACTGTAGCAAGAAGGCTACTTATCTGTTTTTATTCCAGTATTTTCTTTGTTTTTTTTTAATTACTTTCGTGACAATTTTTAATCTAAAAGTGTTGCGTACCAAATTAAAACACTTTTTTTACTCTATATGCGAGACAGCAAAAGAGACACAGATATAAAGAACAGTCTTTTGGACTCTGTGGGAGAAGGCAAGGGTGGGATGATTTGAGAGGGTAGCATTGAAACGTGTATATTATCATATGTGAAGCGGATCGCTGGTCCAGGTTCAATGCATGAGACAGGGTGCTCAGGGCTGGTGCACTGGGATGACCCTGGGAGATCGGATGGGAAGGGAGGTGGGAGGGGTGTTTTGGATGGGGAACACATGTGCACCTGTGGCTGATTCATGGCAAAAGTCACTACAATATTGTAAAGTAATTAGCCTCCAATTAAAATAGATTAATTAATTTTTAAAAAATTAAAGCACTGTTTTTAATGATTTCTAGCAGAATAAATTATTTTATAAAATTAATATGTCCTTTTTTAAATTAATTTTTTTTGGCCACACCACTTGGTGTGGGGGATCTTAGTTCCTGGACTAGGGATCAAACCCATACCCCCTGCATTGGAAGTGTGGAGTCTTAACCACTGGACTGCCAGGGAAGTTCCTAATATGTTTTTTAAACTATTTAATTTCTCCTGATGGATACATGTATATGTATGGCTGAGTCCCTTCACTGTTCACCTGAAACTATCACAAATTGTTAATCAGCTTATACCCCAATATAAAAAGTTTAAAAAGAACTTTACCATTTCTCCTTTTAAAATGAGTTTCCTCCTGCAAGTTCTCCAGGTTTATTGCATCAGGGAGGTTGTGTGTGTGTGTGTGTGTGTGTGTGTGTGTGTGTGAGTGAGAGGTGGTCCTCCTTTGTTCTGGGATTGATTCAAAGCCGGGTAGAGTTCCAGTGCATGAAAAACTCTACAGTTCTACCATAAGGAAGTTTAATAAGCCAATACAATTTCCAGGCACTTTTTCAAAAATTGTTAAATTTTCACATAAATACTGGAATCTCAAAATGAGTTATTTGAAATATATGTTTCTTTCTTAGCTAAACGTTGCAGTCCTTTGATTCTAGTTTCCATTAGCTTTGGGGCTTTTAATGTGTAAGTTAATTGAGAGATAAGCTGTAAGTAAAGCAAGAAAATTCTGGAACCAACTAGAATTTTGTTCCATTAAGGCAAAGAGAGCCTCAGTATGAGATGGGTGTGTTTAAGTGCTCAAATGTTTTTTCCATTAAAGAAAATTTTTTATTATACAATTTTTAAAGGTTATACTCCATTTACAGTTACTACAAAATACTGGCTATATTCCCCATGATGTACAATATATCCCTGTACCCTGTCTTACAACCAAATTATTTTGTGACTCCCACTTCCCTAATTGCCCTTGCATTGCCCCCATCAACCCCGTGACCACTAGTTTATTTTCTGTATCTGTGAGTCTGCTTCTTTTTTGTAATATTCACTAGTTTGTCGTGTTTCTTAGATTCCACATGATGTCATAAAGTATTTGTCTTTCTCTGTCTGACTTATTTCACTTAGCATAATGCCCTCCTGTCCCTAGACATTTAGAAGGCCATGCTATTCCTAAAGCAAATGAATTCTTGTTTTAATGAATGTGAGGAAAAAGCCATTGAATTTATATTTTTGTTGATATGAAGAAAACACTTTAAAGCTTATATATACATCTTTTAAGTCTATTTCTGGGTTTAATTCCAAACCCCTAATGTTTTATATTATGCCACTCGTTCCTGAAAATATCCCCAGTATGAAATATAGTGGAGGGACAAACTATAATGTTCTTGTCCTTTTAGTTAGAAGGGGATTTGTAAATATTTTATGGTATGCAGTTTTATATCTGTTAGCATTTAAAGGGTTAAATCTTGGAGTGGTTTCCTATGTAGAAAAGTTAAGATTAATTTTAAAAAGCAAAAATTAATTTAAAATAATGTTAAGCATAGGAAAATAAGATGTATATCAGTTTTTCTCCTGATTTTAAATAATGCATGTGAAAGTTAAAAATATTTCTAAAATGGGAAACTAGCTTAGGACTCTCAGCCCGCATGTCCTCCTCCACCCCTGTACTCTTACTCCACCCAGGCACAAATATCCAGTTCTGATTGCTTCTTGATCATCCTGTTGATGTTTCTTTATATGGAAACAAGCCAGTGCAGATGCATGTTTTTCTTACCTGGCTTTGGTTCTTATAATGAGTAGTCAGGTTCCACATACTTGATGTTTGACTAGTACTGAAAGATAAGCCTCACCGCTCCCATTTCCCCTAGTCCTTCTTACCTGGACAGGCTGATAAGAAAGCCTGGGGGCTCCTGCTCTGTGGGCTGCCGGTGGCTTGTGCCCTGGGTGGCATCATTGACCCCACCAAACCTGGGTTCTATATACAGAGGGCACCAGCTGACAGTGTGTCCTGTT